GGGGGGGGGGGGGGGGGGTAAACCCGTTGGGCTGAATGGAATTAGGTCGGCCCTGGAGATGTCACCCTGTGGGGAACATTTCCGAGTTTAGATTGGGAACAGAACAGAACAGCGAAAGCTCTGGCGAAAGCACAAAACTTTGAACTTCTATTAACTTGACGTGACGACTGTTCGTTGCTGGTGCGGATTATTAATTAAATTGTTTCGGTATTCAGGGGGTGAATTAATAGATGACAATATGCAGTTTAAGTTATGAAAAGGGGAGAAGGCCATTTTGAGATAATTAATTCGGTAATTAAATCATAGAATGAGGTAGGGGACAGTGGGAACCGTCTTCGATCGGCGATATCTCCTGAGCAAGTGGCGCGATTTGAATGAGTCAAAACTCATTTTAAAGCTTGGAAAATTACCTTGAAACTGGAGAAAAAATAAGGAAATTGCAATGTGCTGTTCTTGAGTTATTAGCAATTAAAGACAGTTTTAATGTATTTTTACCAGAATTAATTTCATTGACTGCAGTTTTTGCTGAATATCTTCTGATTGAAGCGAGATACCGAAATTTTCATCAGAACCTTTTTTGTAGGGGAGAACGAGGGCTACAAAAAAGGTTATGACAAAAAATTCGACATCTCCCTTAGATTCAAAGTTATTCACAAAAAAACAAAAACAAAATTGGAGTCCATATTATTGGTACTTTATTTCTGGGTGAATATCGTGGAATCTATGGGGGATAGTGAGATTTTCATAAGGACCTTTTTTGTAGAGCGAGATGAGAGCTACAAGAAAGGTTCTTATATAAATTTCGCTAAATCCCTTAGATTCGGAGATATTCACGAAAAACTAAGTTTCCAGGATAAGTGAATAATTTTCAGCAGCTTGAAATCCCTGTGGGATTCCCGCCTCGTCGATGCGAGCGCCATTAAGCCTATGATAACGTACCGAGCGAGATGGGAATCCCCCAAAGGGCTCGCGGGAGATACTGGCATCTCGTGGAAATGATTTCAACTATTTTTTCCCGCGTGAATTTCAAAGATATTTACAACTTTTTTCAAATAAACAATTAATTTATCATTCGTGTATGCAATTTTTTTGCATGTCCCCCAGATTAGATGAGGTCATTTGCTGGTGATAATGGAGTCTGCAGATAGTAATCAACAGCCCGAGGGCTCAAGGTCAAAAGACAATGACGAATTATCTGAAATTAAGGGTAATTACATAACGGAGAAGATGAAGCGAGTGGATGTCAAGCCTTCGTCATCACCAACGAGTTTCTTGGCGAAGAGCTCGGTTCTGCTGCCAACCGGAGTTGCTCGGGTCAAACAAATCTCCGGGGTAGCATCGGAATCGAGCAGGAGTGCGACAGGAAGTGGATCCGCAACAGGCAAGTTCTTTCAACTCTTTAATGAAGGATATTTACTTTATAGTAACAATTTTATGGGATTTTCATTGATGAATTCGTAGAAGAGGAATTCTATGAGAAAGAAAGTTTCTGCTTCCGAACGGAAGCATTGTATTCTTCAAACCGAAATGTCCAATTTTTTGTAACAGAATAACTAATTCAAGTGTCAGGAGTTCGAATATGCTATTTTTAGGCCATGATAACTGAAAAAATAATTGTTTAAATGAACCCAATTATGATTAAAAATAGTCTTCTTAATGCCATCTTGACCGAGTTCGATCATGAGATTTACTGCATCATCTGCTGTTGAAAAAATTAATTTTGAAGCCAATACTTAGGAAAAGGTAAAAAAATATTACCGTTGGGGCAATGTTGGCACAATGTCGGCCACCAACGTCGGGCCAATGTTGGGACCATTTTGACAGTCAACGTTGGGCCAATGTTGGGACAATGTTGGCTGCTAACGTTGGGGTAATGTTGGCTGCCAACGTTGGGACAATGTTGGCGGCCAACATTGAGGCAATATGGAATCATTGAATTCATTTTAAAATACATCGTCATAAAAACTGCACTCGCCACCAAATTGCCAATTTATTAGTAAAAATATATTGACTACGTC